AGATAGATAGATAGATAGATAGATAGATAGATAGATAGATAGATAGATAGATAGATAGATAGATAGATAGATAGATAGATAGATAGATAGATAGATAGATAGATAGATAGATAGATAGATAGATAGATAGATAGATAGATAGATTAGATAGATAGATAGATAGATAGATAGATAGATAGATAGATAGATAGATAGATAGATAGATAGATAGATAGATAGATAGATAGATAGATATAGATAGATAGATAGATAGATAGATAGATAGATAGATAGATAGATAGATAGATAGATAGATAGATAGATAGATAGATAGATAGATAGATAGATAGATAGATAGATAGATAGATAGATAGATAGATAGATAGATAGATAGATAGATAGATAGATAGATAGATAGATAGATAGATAGATAGATAGATAGATAGATAGATAGATAGATAGATAGATAGATAGATAGATAGATAGATAGATAGATAGATAGATAGATAGATAGATAGATAGATATCTCTGTTACTGTCAGCTATGAAATAGAGACAGTAAGTATGATTGTTATACAAAGTATCAGTCGAACCGAGCACAGAACTGGTAAAAACCAGAATGTAAGGAAGTGATGGAAAAATAGCATTGGTGGATGGTGAGGTGGGTGGGCGAGTGGGTGGTGAGATAGATGGGTGGGTAGATGAATGGATGGGATAAAAGTTGGCTATCTTAGTTGAAGAATGGAATTGTAGATAGATGGATGGATCTATGTGTAAGTTAAGTAAAGTAAGTAAAGATCCCTGTACACGCCCTTAGGCGCATCAGGCATATGGGAAGGGCACCCATATTTTTACAGACCAATCGGCACTCGGTGGGTAATGTAGTCAGCATTACGCCTGCCGTCTTTACTTTCACAGGACAGCCCATCCTGGTACCCATTTGAGGTTGGGTGGACCAGCGACGTCCCATACCACGATAAAAATCCACGCAGCCTGCACTGGGTTTCGATAGCGGTACGTTGAATTACGAGTCAGACTCGCAACGCCTTAGCCACGGACGCCGCAGATCTATGTGTGCTAATATATAAAATCTGGTAAAAACAAGGCTCTCGTGATAAGATGCTTCTCTTTTATTGTCAGCTATCAAATAGAGACAGTAAGGATGCTTGTTATACAAATTAATCAGTCCAGCCCAAGCGTAAAACTGGTAAAAGCCAGAATGTAAAGGAGCGATGGAAGTATAGATGGGAAAAGTGGTTGATGATGATGATGATAACAAAACACAAATGCACTTGATCGCAAATTATTCCTCCCCCACGCCACTTCACGTCAGAAGTGGTTGATGATAATGATGATAACAAAACACAAATGCCCTGGATGGCAAATTATTCCTCCCCAGGCAGCTTCACGGCAGAAGTACATGATGATATGGATGATGACAAAACACAAATGCACTGGATCGCGAATTATTCCCCCCCACGCCACTTCACGGCAGAAGTGGTTGATGATGATGATTACAAAACACAAATGCACTTGATCGCAAATTATTCCTCCCCACGCCGCTTCACGGTCAGAAGTGGTTGATGATGATGATTACAAAACACAAATGCACTGGATCGCAAATTATTCCTCCCACGCCGCTTCACGGCAGAAGTAGTTGATGATATTCACGACGCTTCACGTTAAAAGTTGATCATAATGATGATGATGATAAAGCACAAATGCACTGGATCGAGAATTATTCCTCCCCACGCCGCTTCACGGCAGAAGCGGTTAATGATGATGATGACAAAACACAAATGCACTGGATCACAAATTATTCCTTTCCACGCCGCTTCACGGCAGAAGTAGTTGATGATGATGATGATTACAAAACACAGATGCACTTGATCGCAAATTATTCCTCCCCACGCCGCTTCACGGTCAGAAGTGGTTGATGATGATGATTACAAAACACAAATGCACTGGATCGCAAATTATTCCTCCCACGCCGCTTCACGGCAGAAGTAGTTGATGATATTCACGACGCTTTACGGTAAAAGTTGATCATAATGATGATGATGATAAAGCACAAATGCACTGGATCGCAAATTATTCCTCCCCACGCCGCTTAACTGCAGAAGTAGTTGATGATATTGATGATGACAAAACACAAATGCACTGGATCGAGAATTATTCCTTGCACTGGAACGCAGATTATTCCTCCCCACGCCGCTTCACGTCAAGCCACTTCACGGCATAAGTGGTTCATAATGATAATGAACTTAACGGCAGAAGTGGTTGATGATAATGATGATGATGACACAAAATAAAACAATTCACTCTGCGGGAATCTCCCATACAAATTAACACACGGCGCCACGTAATGTACCGGGAATTCCCCATCACATCCTATCACTACCTAAAATATTAGACTGTTCTGTTGGGGGGATATAACATAAATGAACCGTTTTTTTTTTCCCCCTTTGAAGTTCTACATTGTGATGATTTGGGTAAAACATAGCTGTAAATGCTTTAGACACGTTTAATAAAAAGGTTTCAATTCGTAAAGGCTCTCTTAGTTCAAATATTTTTTTTTCTAAATTCAGTCACTTCCGGCTTCCTTCCAAGTTTTCCTTAAGTAAAACGAAAGTCACGGCCGACTTTATTTATCTGGAGAAGGCGGTGCGAAAGTCAAATGGTATTCAAAGTTCACCAGACTACAGGACAGAAGTGTAACATGGAAAGTTTGTCCGGGCCTTTGAGGTATGTTTGGGAACAAGCAGGCAGATGGGCTGGCTGGACTGGTTTCATTTGAGGGTGTACTGTATGTAACTGCCCAAGACTGTCTTTGGGTCTCTGACCTGTGGGACAAGGGAAGAGGTGGAATTGTTAAGGTCGAGAGGATTGACTTTATTTTACCAGGTTTTATCACATATAGTCTTTCTCCACAGACCGACTAGCCACCTACTAAGAGCGCCGCACAGAGCAGGATCTCCGTAGCTCCAGCGATGATCCCCAGGGATCTCTGTAACTGCACTCATGAACTGAATGACACAGCCATGAAATGATCCCACGACCTTCAAAGTGCGAGGCCAATGGCTTGAACACTTTGGAGATACTGAAAACTCCTACCTGGAGTAAATGATGCAGCTAGGAGTAACTGTTGGTTCTGGGCATCACTTAAAACTCAGAGGGAAGGCAGATGACGATGGGTAGGATCAGTATGGACACTTTGATGAAAAGCCAGGTGATGATGGGTAGGATCATTATGGAAACTTTGAGGGAAAACAGATGATGATAGGTAGGATCAGTATGGAAACTCTGAGGTAAGGCAGATGACGATGGGTAGGATCAGTATGGAAACTCTGAGGAAAGGCAGGTGACGATGGGTAGGATCAGTATGGAACCTCTGAGGAAAGGTAGATGATGATGGGTAGGATCAGTATGGAAACTCTGAGGGAAGGCAGATGACAATGGGTAGGATCAGTATGGAAACTCTGAGGAAAGGCAGATGATGATGGGTAGGATCAGTATGGAAACTCTGAGGAAAGGCAGGTGACGATGGGTAGGATCAGTGTGGAAACTCTGAGGAAAGGCAGGTGACGATGGGTAGGATCAGTATGGAACCTCTGAGGAAAGGTAGATGATGATGGGTAGGATCAGTATGGAAACTCTGAGGAAAGGCAGGTGACGATGGGTAGGATCAGTGTGGAAACTCTGAGGAAAGGTAGATGATGATGGGTAGGATCAGTATGGAAACTCTGAGGGAAGGCAGATGACAATGGGTAGGATCAGTATGGAATATCTTCAGCTTTGCTGTCTATTGAGGAAGGAGAGAGTGGGGAGGTGCTTTGCTGAAAAAAAAAATAATCATCACATTCCACGACCATCTCTAAAGGGGGAGCTTTAGGTTATAACTGTGACTAGGTTATGTGCACCATATAAAATGGCTTAGCATTTCACGCCACCAAGAGCCCTGAAAAGGACCCCTGCAGTGTTGATTCAAAAAGAAAGAGACAGACCCAAATACTGTCCCAACCAGCGACTAAGTGGTCTACATCTACCTGTGAGCCAATGGAAAGATGACCTGGTTGCTGATGTATTTGGGTGAGAGAGAGAGAGCTAATATGTCGAATCTTTACCCAAATGGTCATAAATAATAACAGCAAAAAATTAGGAGATAAAGGATTATTTCAACTGTCTGTGAAAGAAGACAGCGAGAACAATACATACATTTTTAAAATGCAAATAAATGTGAGATGAGCTGTTTGTTGGTACTGAAAGTGTTAAACTATTCAGTGTAGGGGTTCCCCATTAAATCCTGTATATCAATCTATCTTGTAGCAGGTCTTGTGCCCAAAGTCATCGCTCTCATCACATCACTCTGAAAATACTATACTTTTATAATGTGGGGTGTTGATAAAGAATGTAAGGCAAATTTGGTATGTGTTTGCATTCAACAGTATTACTTGTGAGGAGCTTATGTTTTTAAAGATTAATTTTCCCCCAGATTGTTTCCGAGAGCATATTTTTTACGGGCTGGGAGGGGGAATATGCACACAATCCCTTAACACATATGTCGTAAAAAGCAACCAGTTACAGTTGCCGGAATCAAATGTGTTGGGCTGAAAAGTGCACATATCGTCACCAAGATATCAAAAACACCACACACACAAAACATCACACACGCTTTAAATTAAGATTGTAGAATAATAAAATAAAAATTAGACAAATTATTCCGACTATGTTGCAGGTTAATTTATAACTATTTTTACTTTTTCTATGTTACTCAGGAGATTTCAAGAAACCAGAACATGTGAAATTTTGTAATAACACCATTAACCTGTCACAAGCTTTAGAACCCAGCATTAAATATATTTGAATTAACTGAAAATAAACTGTGTGCCAATTATGGAAACATTGGATGTTCTTAAACACAACAGTTTATTTGATCAGATTGAACAAGGTGACTGTATATCTGCTCTGGAACTACTGAGAGGAGATAATCATATCTCTGAAGATGAACTTAACAAATCTCTTATGTCAGCTTGTGAACACGGACATAAATTGTTGGTCCAGATGCTGGTTGGACGTGGAGCGGATGTCAATTGCAGAGACACAAAAAGGAACACACCGTTGTTGATTTCTGTACAGAATCATTTCACTGACATTGTGCAGTTTCTTCTTCAAAACAAGGCAGATGTCAATGATTGTAATTCTGTGGGGGATTCAGCTTTGATTCTCTCCATTCATTCTTCTGGATCTACAGAAATAACAGAGTATCTACTAAAACAACCAGAAATAAACATTGACCATCAAAACCAAGATGGATACATGGCCATTATGAAAGCTGCAGAGGTCAGAGATGTTGATGCTATGAAAACTTTACTGGATTATCACAACAAAAAACAATCAGTATCAGTTTATGAAACTGTTGATGACCGTAAAGCTTATGGACAAACATCAGATAGTTTCTCTAATGTTATTTTCAAATGGACAATATTAGACGAGACAGTAAACTGTAAAGGAGAAAATGTTCACCAAATTGCCAAAAGATATGGAATTGGAGATGTTTTCCAACTGTTACAAGAATTTGTAGTAACTAACATTTCACCTTTGGAGCTTGCCATGAGAGCAAATGATATAAAGTCATTTCTTGTCTTCTTAGACTGTGATTTCATTTATGCAGCCAGTGAGAAGAAATATCTTGATGAAGCATTGAAACAAATCTTTAAGGCATGCAGTAACAAAGATATTACAGATTTCAGTGAAGATGAAATTGCAATGATCAAAGCTCTGCTGGAACATGGAGCAAATGTGAATACAACTTGGCATGACGAGTCTCTTATCCTTGATCATACTTCTGATTTTGACAGAGAGCAAGCTGGAAGCTCCAAATCTGAAAGTTTATCCAACCCATTTTCTTCAGCACAGAAAACATTCTACTGTGCAAGAGAAGTAACTCCCCTGCTCATTGCTGCAAAAAGTGGTTGTTTTAGAGTTATTCAGTTGCTCCTGTCATTTAAAGCAGAAGTAAAGAGGTTTGCTTTTCGAAATTCCCCTCTTCATGTCACCTTATGTTATGGTCATACAGAGTGCGCCAAACTCCTCATCCAGTATGGAGGAATCATTGATTTTAATCTAGCCCTTGAGTTAGCAGTTGACCACCAGGAACCAAAGTATGTGCAGTTTCTGATTGAAAATTATGAAAATGAAATAATGGAACATTTGAAGAGATTTTCTAGTTTTGATGAAATTTTGAGCAGGTCAGTCAGAAAAGGAAGTCTTGAAATTGTTGGTCAAATTCTTGATTTAGGAGCTGACATCAATGGCACAACAGATCTAGACTTGTGTCCTTTAGTAGAATCCAAAAATGGAGAAGTGGCCAAATTTTTAATTGATAGAGGGGCAAATGTGAAACATGTAAAATGTATAAAACAAATAAGATGCCCTTCACCTCTGATCAAGATTTTAAAAAGGAGGAACAGTGAAGATAATTCTGTGGTAGAGGTTATTCAAGTGCTACTGGAAAATGGTGCTTCTGTAAATGATAAATGCGGGGATGGGAAAACTCCACTTATGTTGGCAGTGAGAGGACATACTACAAGCGTGCTGCAGCTTTTCATGGATCATGGAGCCAAACTTGGCGAGGTGGACAAGCAAGGTAACACAGCTCTTATGCATGCTATTCAAAATGGTAGTGTACGGAATGTATCATTTCTACTTCAGTTTGTGAAAGACAGAGAGGAGTTATTAAATGTACAAAATGATGAAGGTTTAACAGCTCTTATGCTTGCAGTATACACCTGGAGTCGAATTGTAATAATTAAAGAATTAATAGACCACAGTGCAGATGTAAACATCAAAGATAAAAAGGGGAATACAGCATTATTACATTTACTACTCGCCAATGATGAAATGATTAAATCTCTCATCCAGGCAGGATGTGAGGTTAACTGGCAAAACAATGATGGCCTCTCACCTCTAATGGTGGCTGCTCGGAATTATTTAATAGATGCAATGTCTGTGCTTCTTGATTCAGGAGCAGAAATCAACGCCGTCAGCAAAACAGATGACACAAAAACAGCACTGACACATGTGCTGTACATACCATACGATTATGATTATTTCAGCTGCTTGAACTTTTTACTAGATAGAGGCGCCAGTTCATCATACATGGAAGTAACCACTTTTCACAAAATTATAGTTGCTGGTCGGTTACAAATTGTTCCAAAACTCATCAGGTGTGGATTAGGGCCTGTCAATTTTGTTACAAGTGACATGGATTTTTCTGATCTTGCATTTAAAATAATGTATTCACTTATCACACATTCCGTAGATAGTACAGCTCACAATACGTCCTCTTATTCACCACTTTGTACAGCTCTGTGTGCTAATAATAAGGAGCTAGCTGATTTCTTTGTTGGAAATCTGTTCCTCACTCAATCTGACATCTCTCTACTGGGGCATAACAAGTTGCTGAGACAACATCTTGAAAGACAGAACTTCAAAGATTGCCTTGATTTCCTGAATGAGATATCCGCACAGCCAATGAGTTTGTTTAACCTATCTTTTGTGGCAGTGTCAACAGCTGTAGGAACAGTCCCAGGTCGTGAGAACAGAGTGAACGAGCTACCAGTGCCTCAGATTATCAAAGACAAACTGTTGTTTAAGAAACAGGATGTGGCACTGATTGTTTCAGAAACAGACTTCAGACCCAGGATGTTTGATTAAACATGTAAGAACAGACATTTGGAATTACAAAAACTGATGCAGGATAAGACCATTTATTTGATTTATTAACCTAGCAATCAGAGTATGACATTAGTCACCATTATTGTATAATAGATAGTGATGGTATGGTGATAATGAGGAGCTTCAGCTAGATAACTGAGCACCTAAGATTAGAGTGAATGGATAATGGTGGTGATAAGTTTACATCCATAACACATGGTGATACGTAACTTAAATATCATAGAACCTCTGACAGCCGTGGGTACTGTCAAGTTCTTCCACCTTTTCCTCCCAGTTCTCCTGGTCCTCCACCTCGGTCCCTGCTCGTCCTCCACCTTGTTCTCCACCTCGTTCCCAGCTGGCCGAGTCTAACACAATGTAGTCTCTTTCATGGACTGATCGTCACATGGGCGCTGGCACTTTCCAGCAAATGCCGAACACGACTCAACCAGGGAGAAAATACTTTTCAACGGTAGGTCTGAGTCTGTGGCCTGCTGGCGGCACTATGAGGTAAATCTACAATGCTTGCAGTATAAGTATCAATCTATTGTCCAAATTAAACTCCTCCCTTTACTGGGTTTTACCCAACCCTCAAGATGATGGCTTAAGCCCCACCTCTGAGGTAACTATCAGATCAACTTGGCTAACCAGTGACCTGTCACTCACAGTGAACGGCCTACAGTACGACCTTGACCAAGATAAAACATTCCTAATTGCCAAACACCTGTTCTCCCCAGAATTACACTGACGTGTTAAACTTTACACTTCTCGTTGCCTCAATGTCTAGAGTCCGCTCAACTCGTGTAAGGTAATCTTTATGACCTACGGTCCAGCTCAGGTGTGATGCTAAGTTCCCCGTTCGCTGGCCTCTACAGTGTGGTCAGGAGATAACATTCTGACACTGGCATGAGAATCCAACCTCACATCCCTAGTCTGAACCAGCGGGCTGTATTACGTAGTGTTAGGTAATTTTAAACATAGCGCAGTGGCTTTGTCTGGTAGAAGGACTGGTAACATTTAAATCAATTTGGTTTAAAGTAATATTAGGGTAAAGGGCAGAGTAAATATAATCCTCTCTTGTCTCTCAATAACCAGAAGAACTTATTACAAGTACTAACTTCTGGAATCACTGAGATCGTTTCGTGACAAACCTATCTTTTGTGGCAGTGTCAACAGCTGTAGGAACAGTCCCAGGTCGTGAGAACAGAGTGAACGAGCTACCAGTGCCTCAGATTATCAAAGACAAACTGTTGTTTAAGAAACAGGATGTGGCACTGATTGTTTCAGAAAAAGACTTCAGACCCATGATGTTGACTACAAATCTTATTGACAGATTTCAAACAATATCAGTTTTTGATGATTACTACAGTGACAGCAATCCCTACTATGATTATGATGTTGAAGATGATTATGATAGGCACTCTGATTATGATTACAATAACTACTATTCATATGATAGTGATTAAGCACTAATGAATCAATTCTGATATTTTATTGTTGAGTACATCGGCTGTGTGTGACAAACATGTACAATAAACACACATTTTATCATGTTCATATACTAATGTATACAAAATACACAATTTTTAAAATGCTCTGTAATTTGATTTGTGATATTTTATTGTTGAGTACATCAGGTGTGTGTGACAAACATGCACAATAAACACACATTTTATCATGTTCATTTACTAATGTACACAAAATACACAATTTTTAAAATGCTCTGTAATTTGTCCACAGATTTTCTGATTACAATTTGACACTAAATGCCTGTGTATCATTAGGAGAAAATCTCATCTGAATGTCACTATGTTTTTTTAATTTTAATTTAAATGTTTAGTTTATGATTTTTTTCTTTGATATTCTTTTTTTTCCGAGTATGTCTTGAGAAGGTGTAAACAGATGCTCATATAATCCCTTGATTTACTGACAGAACATATTGTTCAGTATAAAACTTTAGTGGTAATCACTGACTGTGAAATATTGAACTATGTTTGTCTGGAGTGCTTTGGTTATAGTCCTCACACATTGAACTATGCATGTTTTGTGTGTTAGTTGAAAAGACTTGTTTTTTTGTTGTTGCTATAATTTTTATAGTGTGCTGGGTGTGAAAAACAATGAAATGTTGAAGCAATCAAATCATATATATAGTACATTGTAGTTTCATTATTCATAATAATTCTTTTCACCATATTTCACTTTTAGTGTAGTTTGAATTGCTTTGTGCAGTTCTTACTTGTACTATTGCTGTCTTAATATCATGAGACCATGATGTCATCTATTTAATAGCGTTACTGGTAGGAACTATGGAACCTGCAGACAGAGGATCTAAATTACCCCAAGGATTCCGAGGGGAGGTTTGATTAGGCTGTAAGTATGGGGTAAAATATTACAGATATACTGTAAATGGCACAACATAGTTGCATCCTTGGATGAATGTGGAAGAAGAAGCAGTATAAGAAAACAATATTTGTGGCTTTTAAATTCAATTCCATGTGGTTGACAGAATTAAAGTAATAATTGCTTGATATGGAAAGGGTTTAATATTATCCATATATTAATCATAAATGTGTAGCAAAGAGTTTTTTGCATGTTTCTATTCCTTCGTGCTCAGCTAAATCTTCTGATTATGTTTGTAACTTCTAGGCTGATGATGAACACAGTAGGTAATAGAACACAGTTCAGTTGCACTTTAATCCTAATATGTTTATTTGGTTTGTTTTAACTTGAGTGTGTAAAAGGAAAGTAAGACATTGTTTCCATTGCTCAAGTCATTCAGTCCTGTGCCTATTTTACTTCAATACTTTATACCCCATGGTATGTGTACTTTAGAGCAGCAATCTTTGAATCTGAAAAAAAAAAAAATTGTGCGATTGTCCATGTTAGGGTTACTAAAGAAATTTAACAGAAGAAACTAAAAAATGGAGAAAGGGGGGGGGGGGGGGGAATGGGGATAAATTCTTCAGTGCCATTACAAAGGGCACTTTGTGATGAGAACAGTACCTGTTACTTTTTATAAATTAAAAAAAAAGGCCAGGTGTAACCAGCATACGTTTTGTGTGCTGTTCGTTGTTGAAAGAGTTAAGTAGTCTTCTTTCTTTCTTTTGTATTCACTGACTGTAAATTACAGAAGAAAGTGCTGGTTGTTTGTCCACTTCTGGACTGCAGTCTTTTTCCAGAACCTGAGTGTTGCGTGTGCATCCGTTTTACAGATCTGACTCATTTGTATGCTGCTGGTTCCTTGCCTCTCAGGCAGATGCACTCCGACTTCGAAGGAAGCTCCTATTTAGTCAACACTTAAGTTAAGTAGTATATGGTGCTATCCATATAAAAAAAAAAAAAAAATGAGTGAATATATCAATGTTTTTTGCCTTGAAAAAATAGAAAGAAAGAGCACACTTTTTATTAACAAGAAAAATATAGTGAACAAAATAAATAAGGAATACTTGATAAATTGGGTGAATTTATTTTTGAAAAGGAAAACTATCAATGCTTTAAAGTATTTTCTGTTGTTAAAATTATTGAAATTATTTACAATGTTGACAAAGCATTACAGCCACTATTTGGTAACGCATGGCAATATGTGAGTCAATTGCCAAATGATAATTTTGGTAATGTTTTTATTGTTATTGAGCCCTTGCTTCATTAAAAGACAATCGTCATCAAAAAATACCTTGCTGACTGGCATTGGCGATCATGCGTCTCCACAACCTGTGATCTTTAACGACATGTCTCAGTTAACATGTGCTGACCTTCCTCCATGTCATGACACAAGACTGTCAAGAATCTTCTCACATTGTCTCCCTCAGTCTCATTTTCCACAGGTCTTTCCAGCTGTAACAACATATTCCAGTTTCCTTCTTCTCATAACATGACTAAGAAATTATGGTTTCTCTTTCTAATGTTTGTTAAAAATTTGTTTCAATAAGTTGTCTTTGGTTCTTGCCTTTTTCAGAATATCTGGATTGTTCTTTCTGGCTTCCCAAGAATTCTAAGGATTCCTCTGTAAAACCGTATGCCAAGGCCTCAATAAATTTTTTAACCTGAAAAAATAGTTTGTCTAAGATTCTTCTTCTCTGCTCACCAGCTGTGAGCTTCTGTGGAAAGTCCTGGCTGTTCGTCTATTTCGACTTTAACTTTGTGCTAGGACTTGCACATAGATCTGTTTTACTGGCTTATTTGTGCGCAGTTGGTTGCTCCTTGCTGTTCAGGCAGATGTCCTCTGAGTTTAAAAGAGGCCTCCTAATTAGTTGACTGTATACATGCCAACGTTGGCTCTGTGGCTAAGTCGATGCGAACGCTTCGTAATGCCGGGGTGCCGGGTTCGATCACAGCTGCGGGCTGTGCGCCCTACCTTGGTTTTGACGGTAGTATCAGGGTGCCGACCGTCCAGAAAGCACTGGCAAACTACTAGACGTACATTGCCTAGAGAAACCACACAACAGCCAGGGGCTGCTGAGGTTGGTTCTGCAACGTCCTGTAAAGAATACGCAACTAACCCAAAAATACATGCCCACGCTCAGGTGCACCAACACAGATTATTGTTAGGGTGGAGGCTCAAACATCCCCACCCCTTTAAAAGCTTATATTTGAAAATGTGGTCAACCTCACCAATTTATTCCTAACCCCAACTGTCTTCCTCATGCACACAAATTCAGGAAAGTTTGGCAAGATGGAAAGGCTCAGCCCCAAGTCCTTCTTGCCACTGGTCCGACCCCTTTTAGACCTAGCTCCCCTCCCGCCCCACCCCATTAGGTCAGAAACATTGAAGGACTCCCCAAACAAGGTCCTCCTTACCCCATTACAAATGTTTGAGGCATATAATTGGGTTGGGGTGGCAAGCTCAAGCTTTATGTGGCTAATTCCCCCCTAAAAAAATTGGGGAGTGTGGTCAGCAGAGATATTATAGACGAGAAAAAAGCAGAAAGAAATTTGGGTTTAAAGGCCAAAATTTGAATATACTTTTAGAAAAGGGTTTCACTGGGTACAAATCCATGATGCGGGGCAGACAAGAAAAAACGCAAGAAGTGGCCCCCAAGAACCCCCATTTGGGGGGGGGGGAACCCGTGGGGATAATACAGAACTAAGGGTACAAATTAAATTTACGCCAACCTTTTTCCGGGAAAATCTTTGACATGATATTGGGGGGGTGTGGTTGACCCGTTTGGTTTTTTGGGGGTGGTTTCATTGATAAAAGCTAGAAAGTAGCTGGGAGGATGAGAGGTTTTTATGGGAATTTGTTTTAAAAAACCGGGTTTTAAAGGGAGGGAAAGAGCCCCCTAAAGTTTTTTGAAGTTTTTTTTTAGAAGTAGATTCGCTAAACATTGTTAAAAAGGTTTTGCTTTTTGTAAAAATTTTTTTAAATTGTTTTGTTTTAGTATGTTATGCTCATCTGGGTTTCAAATTTTTATAACAATTTTTATTAGGTTTTCATCTTAGGCAC